GTGGCCTTTTTTGTGTTTCCAGAGCATTTTTTTCTTTGTTGTAGTGACATGTATTTTAAATGTATTTGTGTCATGCCATCAACATAGTAGACGTACAGTTTAAATAGAAATTACAGTATGGGTGTACGAGCATGGGTAGTTTTGAATTGTCAATTCAGATCAAATTCATACTTTAGTCTTAGGATGTAATGTCAACGGCTGTAAAACACGTGTCTTTCCCCTTTACCCAATAAACAAAGAAGTAGTTTTATTAATATACCTCATTTAAATCCTAAACCAGATAGCATTCGAATGTCAATTTCTATTATATTGAAAAAGCAACAGATTTGGGTGAAGCTCTAGGCCTCTATCCGGTCTAGATGACAAATAGACTTCATCGACGGAAGCTCGGCAAGATTTTCCTATTAGCTTTTGTGTTGCTAATTCTGTTTATTCATAGCAAAAAGATTTCCAATATCAGGCTAGTTCCACAAGAAGACATCACTCATTGAGGCTCCACCTTTCTTGCCTTCTCTGGTGAGTGACAATTGAGTTTTCTCCTTTTGCTTTATTGTCATAAATTTTGGCTACTAGATGTGCTCTGTCTTCTGCTTTGAGTGAATTGAATTGTGAAGTAGTCCCTTCCATCGACTTACAAGGGAAAATAGAAAGTGAAATAAGCAAATGGGGGTATTGAAGTTGGTATTAACGTGTTGCAATTATTGTGTTCGAGGAATTACATGTAATAACAAATGTGTTGTGGCACTATTCAAATTTTCTGTATTTTATTGGGATGCTTTCGTGTTGCATGTAAAAGAGATCTACTATTTGCTTTGACTTTTCTTCTCAGGCTATAACAGTTACTCCATACTTTTATTTATTTTAGGTTGACATGAATCCATCAAAGTCTGAAATGGGAGCAACTTCAAAGAATGTACATCATGCATATATTCAACCTGGTGCTTTAGCAAGGGGAAAAGGACACAACTTTGGATCTTTGGGATCTGTAAAAACAAGTATTGGAAAGAGAACTCTGATTGGAGAAGGTAAAAATCACAACTCAGTAGCTTTTGAGCAGAATAAGCTTGCACATACTAATAATCTTGTGCCCCCTGGTTTCGTTTCGATGGAAGATGATGCTCCCCTCGCTCAAGACGCTGAAGCGAAGCAAGGTCTCTTAAGTTTTAACTTTTTTTTATGTTTCTTATTGAACTGGTATTGGTTTTATGTTTCACATAAATCAAAATTTGCACAAACAGGAGGAGCTTTGAAGAATGTAAATCTTGCATACATTCAACCTGCGTCTTTAGCAAGGGGACGAGGGCAAAGCTTTCGATCTTTGGGCTTCGCAAAAGTAAATGTTCGCAAAAAAAATCTGTTTGGAGAGATTAAAAATTACAACTCAGGGGCTTCTAAGCAGAATAAGCTAGCACATAATAGTAATAACCTTATGCCTCCTGGATTTAATATGATGGAAGAAGATATTCCCTTCACTCAAGAAGCTGAAATGATGCAAGGTCTCAAGTTTTAATTATTCTTTTTTGTTTGTTATAAGACTGGAAGTTATTTTATGCTTTACTCAAATCAAAATCTGCAGTATTGGAGCTACTTCGAAGAATGTACGAGACACTTGCAGTCAACCTGGTGCTTTAGCAAGGGGACGCGGGCAAAACGTTAGATCTGTGGGCTCGGCAAAAGGAAGCGTTGGAAAGAGAAATCTTGTTGGGGAAAGTAAAAATCACAACTCAGCAGCTTGTGATCAGAATAAGCTAGCACATAATAGTAATAATCTTATGCCTCCTGTTTTTGATATGACGGAAGAAGATATTCCCTTCACTCAAGAAGCTGAAATGATGCAAGGTCTCAAGCTTTACTTATTCTTTTTTGTTTGTTATAAGACTAGAAGTTATTTTATGCTTTACTCAAATCAAAATCTGCAGAAATCGTAGCTACTTCGAAGAATGTACGAGACACTGACAATCAACCTGGTTCTTTAGCAAGGGGACACGGGCAAAACGTTAGATCTGTGGGCTCGGCAAAAGGAAGCGTTGGAAAGAGAAATCTTGTTAGGGAAAGTAAAAATCACAACTCAACAGCTTCTGAGCAGAATAAGCTAGCACATAATAGTAATAGTCTTATGCCTCCTAGTTTCGATCCGATGGAAGACGATGTTTCTCTCGCTCAAGAAGATGAAATGATGCAAGGTATCAAGTTTAATATTTTTTTGTTATAAGATTGGAATTTTAATTTATTTTAAAAATTAAAATTTGCAGATCTATGTGAATCTGAAAACCCAAAAAAGGTGAGAGGAAAGAATAGGAATAAAGATGTTGCGGGACTCAAACCTGGAGAAAAGTTTAGAGTCAACTTTTACCACAATCGGGTTGTTGGGAAGCATCAAGCCTCATTTTCGAGACACTTGGGTATATTAGTTGGTGATCATAATATGTGTCCGTTGCAAGTACATTCATGGAAGGACATCGGAGAAGATAAGCTGGAACACATGTGGCGAGCTGTTACGGTAAGAATCTAAAGCACTATAAAGCAATATTTTAATTAAAAGTACTTGAAATTTTTGTTACCGTTCCCACTCTGTTTATGGTCTATGTTAGATATGCTGATGGTGGCTGGAAATTTTTGTTAAAGTAGTTCTAATCAATGCTAATTCCACAATTGATCTGTTGCATTTTACATTCAATTAGTTTCACTGCATCCCTTGTCGGGATCACTTCTTGAATCTCTAAGTCTAACTTATAAGACAGTGTGTTCTGTGACTATGAAGTGTTATGTAATTAAGATGCTAGTTAGAATTTAAAAAAAAATCTCAAATAGATCTTTTGTATCAACATTGTTGCGCCAACTTTGAACATAATGAATCCAGTGAATCTTCCAAATTAATGTCCAAACCTGCATCTGCATCTTCCTTGAGTGTGTGAGTAAGCAATTTTTGCATCTTGCATTATCCAGATTTGTGGTGATGAGCTCAAGAAGCCACGATCATTATATCCTTTGTGTTGTATATGATTAATGCAAATGCATTGTACCAGCTGTAGTACCTTGTGATCCACCGCAACTGCTCTGTAAAATATATCTTTATACCAGCAGTTGTGTGCATGAGTGAGTTTGCATAGTTTGCTGCAGATCTCTTATGAGTTCGAGCAAAATTCTGAGACCAAATTTGTTCGGTAGCCTTCCTGGTATATGGGGGTAATGAAGTGCACTAAGATTTTAGTCCAGAATGCACTCACCGATCCCATTTTTGAACACCAAAATCCCATGTCATAGCTGATCATTCAGCACCTGGCAGTAGTTGTTCCTATTGAGTAATTCTTCTGGTGTGAGAGTTGAGCTGCATTTTATTGACACAATGGTATGATGCCCCTACTGTCTTATTTACACAAAGGTATAATGCCCCTAAGTGCAGATGTTTCTCCCTTAGAAAGTCCCAAATGGTTCCTACTAAATTATCGAGACAATACAATTTCTGAACTTGTGGACATCAGAAAATGCTAGGATATAAGCATACAATATTCCAAATCAAACAAGTTTGGGCAGGCATGAAGAGAATCTTTACTCGCCATTGTTCCTTTGACCTGAGTGGTAATGTGACCCCTTTCAGAGTCACCTAGAAGCTTGGACAAACCAAAATCAGCAACTTTTGCATTTAGGCGTTCATCCAGAAAGATGTTCTTGGACTTGATGTCTCTCTGTATGATAGGAGGATTAATAAGGTCATGAAGATACTGCAAACCTCGGGCTGCTCCAAGGGCTATCTTCAGTCTCCTCATCCAATCTAACCTGATCCCAGTATTGCCTACAAGTACAAATCTAATTACATTTTCCATAGGCACATTCCCCTTTTGGCAAAGTTATAATGATCCAGTTTTAAGGAATCAATAAGAAGGAAAAATCTAAGGTGCTAGTCAAGGAGCATGTTTCTTATTCTCTAGATAGAACTCTATAGGAAGCAAAACTGTTGGAGATTTTAGTGTTCCTTGCCCTAATTACATGTTCCAGATCTCATGGAAAATGGTTCAGCACTTCCACTCCTAATTTTAAATATTGGTTTCTTGTTAATGACACCATCTATAGTATTTTGCAACAACTAATCGTAATAACTTCTTGGACTTCCCCGAATGTAGGTAACAGGTAATACAGCAAGCACCTCTATAGTCTTCTCACATAATGGTGTTAGTGAATTATTACAGATATTGTAATGTTTTGTTGTAAAGTTGCAGCCTTTAGTGTAAGTTTTTTGTGTATCTCTTAGTCTGTAAGGTCACATTCAATGTCAAAACTTCTACTTGATTACATTTGTTAAGTGACTAACATGAAGGCTCTCCATAGTTTCTCAATGTGTACCTAGCACAGTGACACCTGCTTCTACATTACCCTTCTGCACGGGGTAGTTTGGGTGTGGAGGGGAATTAGTTTGATTCTCTGCATAGGATTTGATTATAAGTTACTACTTCAAATAATGTTATTACTTATGAGGGTTAGGCTAAAAAGGGAAGAGAATGTTACATTTGATTACTTGGCACATATTTGTTATTTCTTCTTGAAATCCAAAAATTTGCATACTGGAAGCTGGATTTATAGCACTATAAAGTACTAAAGCTTATTGGTTGTTGACTTTTCTGTTGCCTCTTATAGAATGTTTGATCACAATAAGTCATTTTTTGTATATATTATTGGCGTGTCGTTTCTAAGGCATGTTGCTGCTCTGAAGTCTCTAAGCTCTACGTGATTTATAAAATGCTTTACTTATGAATCTTTGTGAATGCTGAAGATCCTAGGTCTTAAGCAATGTAACTGAAAACGGACACATTTTGTTTGAAACAGGAAAAACTATCTTTAGTTTACATGAAATTTTTTACTTTCTTGATTAATGCTTTTGCAAAATATTTAGGACAAATTTGACAGTGATGACATGAATCATCAAAGAGATCATGTGTTAAATCATATGAGAAAGTTATGGACCAATTGGATAGGATCATTGCACAAGTATGTGAAGTCTAAGCCATTGCATGAAGCACTAAAAGTCCCGGAGGAGATAGACAAGAGTGATTGGGAATGGTTGGTCAAGGAACATTTTTTAAGTGAAAAATTTAAGGTAAGACTTCATAACTACTTTTATCTTCTTATTATTGTAAGTAACACTTCATGATTTTAATGGTTTGTTCTTAATATAGGAAACAAGTATTAGAAACTCGATCAATAGGTCTACGTTGAGAATGCCTCATCGTACGGGTAGCAAGCCGATTAGAGAAATTATTTACGAACTGGTAAGTGCACAGTGCAATCCTTAAAAAAAATCTCGTGTTTGTTTGACTTGTTTGTTTAAATGTGAAGGGAGGCAAAGACGGTAATCCACCGAACATAGCGACTATCTTCTTTGAGACTCATAAGAAAAATGACACGCTTGTAGAACCTGAAGCTGGTGAAAAATATGTATGCTTATTGATGAACTTCATTTTACATCCTTCATTTTATTTTGATGTATTTTATTATTTTAATTTTGCTTGTATTTTATAGGCTGAGATACAAGAACTGGTACAATCTGAGCCATCTCTTACGAATATCGAGGTAACAGAAAGATGCTTCGAACCTCAAAACAAGAGTCACGTGGTTGGATTAGGGGGTGGTATAACCACTAAGGAGTTGAAAGGTGGTAGCTCCTCAAAGGCTGCAATACTGGCTGAGCTGAATGTAATTCGAAAAGAAAAAGAATCACTACAGACCGAGCTGAATGCAACTAAAAAGCAAAAGAATCACCTAAGTATGAACATATTATCAGCTTATTGGGTGATCAGCCTTCATCAGCACCATCTTCAAGTCAACAAAGTACAAGCTGAAATTGTGTTTAACAGGTTCGCAAGCTTTCTACCAACTATGACCTGATGAATATCCTTAAATAAATTTAGTGAAGTCTTTTGTTGTTAGTTAAATAAAGTACTGACCTTGACATATGTACAATTACTCTAATATTGAAATCCAATTAGATATGTGCATCTCAGATTCATTGTTTGAACGTATAACGTTATTTGAGATTTGAGGTCCAGATCTGTTTTCCGTTGCTTGCACAGATAGCCAAATCCTTTTTGCAAAATATTGATCAATGTGCAGGTTAGTGACAATGAAATAGTTAAACATCTGGGTGGCACTGATGTGCAGGGTGCAAATGTACTTAGAAATTAAAGTTTTTCTAAGAAACTACACCAGAAAATAGGCAATAACAAGAAAACGAGGAAAAGTACGAAACGCTCTTTGCGGAGAGCAGTGTTAGAAAAAGCGGTCGCTTCCTCACTTAAAGCGAGAAGCGAAGCGAAGCGACCCCTTCCTCGCTTCTGCCATGTGAAGCGACTCAGGTAGGAAAAAGCGACCGCTTCCCACTAAAAAGCAAGAAGCGACCAAGCGAAGCGAGCGCTTCTTTGTTTTAAACAGCTGCCAGACTAGGGTTCTTCAACAGAGATTCCAGCAACAGGTATGTGATGATTTTCTCTTCTTCTTCTTCCGATTTCTTCTCTTCTTCTTCTTTTTCTTCTCTTCTTCTTCTTTTTCTTCTGACTTCTTCATCTTCTTCTCTTTCACTGTTTCAACGTCCAAATAGTAGCGAAATGCTGGCAAATTTTTTTTACCTCGGTTCTTTCCCAGAATCTAGCAACAGAATTTAAGCGAAATGGCCAAAAGGATTTTTTAAATTCCGCTTCACTTCAAAAAAGCGAGCGCTTCGCTTCTCGCTTCTCGCTTTAAGCGAAATGGGCTTTGTCGCTTTTCCTCGCTTCACGCTATTTTTAACACTGGCGGAGAGGGAAGGGAAGGGTGTATGAAGTTATTGAAATCAAGTGATACGTTACAGAAAGTAAAATTTAAGCCACCAACCTGACTAAAGTAGTCATCCAAAAACATTATAGCATGATCGTCCTGTCCATTACTTTATTTGAAAGTACGTATAACTCTTTCCCTCCTAAGTGACTGTGACATAGATACTCAAAACATCTCATTAGCTGTTACAGTTAGGTGCAATGCAGACAAATGAGAGACTGCAAAATGCAAAAGAATCAAACTAATTTGCGATCCATTCCTGCTGCTCCATTTTTCCTCCCAGTAGCTCTTGCATCTGTAGGAAAGAATAATTCTGCCCTACATACTGTTGAGTAAGTTTACTGTACAACAACGAACCAGTACACTATATTTGCGATCATTTTTGTGTGTCATTTCTCTGCTTCCCCTTGAAACCTTTGCTTGTATTCCATATTGGTTTGGTGTAATAGCATGTTGCATTGGTATTTATTCCACTTTGTATCCAATATGCTTGAATTGTATTGCCAAAGACTGTATAGAAAGTTTTCTGCCCAACATTGTTCAGTGGTGATGCTTAGCCAAGCAGAGCAACAGATACTGAACTAACTGTCCAAATTGAGTTCATTAAATGCTAGTGTAACTCTCCCCATACTGTGATACAAGAACTGGTACAATCTGATAAAGCTTAATATTCAGGAGTCATTTTATTGGGTTGGAGATAGGGGAAAAAACTGTTGTCATGAAAAGAGGACTCCATTTTCTTCTAATTGCATGAAAGAAACTTCCTAAAAGAACAATACCCCAACATGGCAACTCATTGGAAATGGAAGGAAGTGTAAAAGTGCTCTCTTCTTTTGTTATATTTTGATCAATACTTACTGTGTAACTTTTTTTCTACCTTTGTTTACAGAAGCCCTATTTTTCTTCATTTGCCAGACCCCTTCTGCCCTTCATATTGTTCACTAAGTATTCTTAAGAACAACAACAAGCTTTGATAAATCAGAAGTAATCATTACTACTACACTAAATAGAGTGGAAAAACATGCACAAGATATGGATGCGGCTCAACCACAATTTTCTGTCAAATCTATACCACGTAAGTGATTTGATCCAGTAGGAATTTAAACTAGTTGCAGGTATTGATGCACTAAAGAATGGAAGGAATGCAGCTCAGTAAATGTCATAAAAAGGCACGGAACACTAATATCATAGAAGTTCAGGATCTGTGTGAAGGAAACATGTATGGACTAGGATACACTTTGAGAAGTGTATGTAGTTACTTCAAGTAATTAAGAAGATGAAGCAGCCTCACTTCAATGCCCAATGTTGACCCTTTTAGTGATTCTGGTTGGGATCCACTTCTGTCATTGAATCAAAAGGAGAGTTTTAAAGGATCTTCAGTTGTCTGTTGTCTGCTAGTTTATTGAAATGCAGAAATGGTACCTGTATACAGGCTGCTGCTGGCAGCTCATACTACAATTTATATGTGTCTCTTGGCCTACTCTGCAGACATTCATAGATACAGGAAAGAGAAGACTTCAGTTTAGAGGGTGAATGCTCATTCTCATTACATATGCATACTGATTGATAGAAAATATAATTGTAAAAAAGGTGGATTTAGTAATGTAGTTGTAAGAAGCACTAATTGTTCATAGTATTTTGAGATGCTCTTCGCTTCGTGGTTTTACATTTTACTGTGTTGTAGCAACTTATCAATCTTAAATCTTGTTTTCTTACTCAACTAATATGAATCTTTTTTAACAGATCAGATAAAGGGCCTGAAGTTTGAAGAATCTTCCATAAAGATAGTTCCGAGCAAGTTGAAGCAGCTAGAATTATTGAAGAACAAGGAAAATCTATTATGTTTTATTAGGAGTTGTAGTCGTCATCCGTACAAACTACTATTTTACTTTCTCTTTAAATTTTTGTTTTCTTTAAGGAATTGAAAACATGGATCATGCAGTTTGGATGTAATATTAGTGCTACTTTGATTAGTTCTCTATCTATAATTAAAAAAGATGTTTTATGTCAATATTGACTTCATTCTTTGTATGATTTCGAATGCGTTTAATATATTTATTACTTAAAAGCTCACATTCGCAAAGGGAAATTTTGGTTTTTATAAAGTATGTCGTTAAAAGTACATACAATTAACGAATGGAATTCCGGTCGCATACACTAACAACGACTGAAAATTAGTTACCGTTGGTGAAGGTTTTAACGACTGGGACGATATATAACGATGGGAAAATTCCCTCGCTAATCTTGGTATAACGACTGGATTCCTTGCCATCGTTAAAAGAGTTTTTACGACGGGATCAAAATTCGGTCGTTTACCTTTAACGATGGGGCACTAACGACCGGCGACGACCGGTTTTTATCCCATCGTAATTGACTTATGACGACCGGATTTGGAGTTTTAATGACCAAATTTCCCATCGCTAAAGACCTATTTT